ATCGGTGTGACGCTGCAGACAGTCAGCGCTGTCGCCGCTCCTCGTTTTTAATCAAAAGGTACGATCGACAGTGGACAGGTGACCAACACACACACACACACACACACACACACAGCCATGGATGACTAATCCAAACAAGTCTTGCCTTAGGGGAAAGATGTAAAAAGCAGTGGAGGAGTGGATAAATTAGAGAGGACAGTAAAGGGATGGGTGGAAGAAACAAGGAAGAAAGGGAGTAAAAGGGGTGAAATAATAACTCTGTTAGTGTATAAATGATTTATGGTAATCATAGGCATCTCTGAGGCAATGCCTTACATGTGTGTCTCCCCCGTAGGATTTCTTCAGCAAGTCCGACCCTTTCCTGGAGATTTTTAGAATAAATGATGATGGGACTGAGTCCCTCGTGCATAGAACAGAGGCAATTACATTCACACACAAACACATAAAGATGTAGCTCAATGCTTCAGATCTGTATTTAAGAATAACAGATTTTGTATTGTACATGTACAGACAGTCATGAACAACCTGAGCCCTGTTTGGAAATCCTTCAAAGTTTCCTTGAACACGCTCTGCAGCAGTGACCACGATAGGGAGCTAAAGGTGAGTCCGCAACTGGAACTATTTTTAGCAGGTCATAATGGTGGCAGCATAATTTCATTTAACACAATCTACAACAAACTCAGGGTGGCAAACTCATGGCCACAGCTCCTTTCATTATTTAAGTTACCCCTGTGTGACACAATGCTCATTTAGAGCACTAAGGCCAAGCAGCATCCCAAGGCCCTGCAGGTGTTTCTTTGCAGGATGTTTTGCTTTTTGCGCAGCATACAAATGATGTGATTCGTAAAACATAAGCATTGCCTAGGTGTCCCATACTCACAAGGATATAAAGGAAACCAAAGCATATAAGCAAATAACAAAACAGCCATAATTCCATTTTCTTCTACGAGTCAGGAGTTGTGTTCAGGTCATGTGATGCCTTTGCCGACATCACTGCGTTACTTAATGAGCCAAGTGGGAGTAAAATAGCCCAGTGCTCTTTCTAAACTCTTACCATTACTGTGTATGTATGTGTACGCTCACGTTATGTGCCTATGTAGAAAAGTGGCGGCCGCACATCAGCTCCGAACAGTTATTCTTTCCATGAATAAACATGAGCTTGTTCATTAAACATTCAGAGGCGTCCTGGCTCTGCACAGCTCCTGACAGCAGGAGAAAGGGCTCACGCACTCATATGCACACTCATACACACACATGCATGCCATCGGCTATGGTTTCCAGGACTACCTGTTCGAAGCAAAACGCCTATGGTGAGAAATGGCAGAACAGACATTTCTATTCAGACCAGTGTTTCCTTTTTACCAGACATTTAACTGACCAATGCATAAATGCATAACCCTGCAGTGTCTGGCTGTCTCACCCTTTGTGTTAGCAGTTTCTCCACCTTTTAACTTTTTTTTTCTGTCCCTCCGCTTGTCTCTCTCCTAGTCCATCCGACAGTTAGTATTCAGTGAATGGAACGGAGGTTCTTCATTTTTTCATTACTCTCTCCCACAGCTCTCAGCAACTTAAAATAGAAGCAAGGTTGCAAAAGCTGGTGCATGCTCATTCATGCACAGATATCACTGTCAAAAATATAGACATGCATGCAATACACAAATAGTCACACATTCACTGAGACATAAAAAGCACATACACTTCAGGTTCAGGCACTTGCAAGCTTAAGTGGGAGACAGGAAATAAGGAGATTATTGCCAACCATTGTAGTTAATCAAGGGACGCTGGATTGGTTGTGATCGCTCATTGTTGGTGTGACATCAGGCAAGAAGGTCACAAAGCTCTACAGCTAAATGACTCATTCACCGCAATTAAACCTGTTTTGAAGGAAGAAGCATTTTTCTGTGTGCATGTGTATCTATTGACTACTTTCATCGAATTTTATTGATTGTACTCACTCTGCTGGACAGCCCAGATATTAGGGCCTTCTGTCACTGTTTGAAACCATAGGCTTGTTTGTTTCCGATCTGCTAAGCCTCGGCCCGCTGACCCTCACATTTCACCAGTGATTGAGGCCATTTATCTTGTCTAGTTGCTCCTTTGAGAGAAACAAACTATTCTGCCTAAACACACACACACACACACACACACACACACACACACATTCATAAACATAAAACAGTCTCTTAAGCCGCGTCCTTCTCGGCATCTTCAGATTAATATTTTACCGCTCCATTGCCCCCCTACTAATACCACCTTATCAATCATTCAACATGGCATTTCCCTTCATGCCTGTGAGTGCATGTGTATGTGTGCATTTAGGTGACAGAGTTGCAGCGGTGCTCTAACTGAATGAATGTATGTGCTTGTGTATGAGTGTTATTTTGTGTCTGTTCCAGTGCACAGTCTGGGACTGGGACTCAAATGGAAAACATGACTTTATTGGGGAGTTTCAGACCACCTTTAAGGAAATGAGGGCAGAGCAGGAGGGCAAACAGGTAAGCACATTAACATAGGTTTTTATGCTCCTTTCATACTACACACCAGCAAAAGTTGCACCACCAACATTAACATGAGTGTGTGTGTCTTTCCAGATTCAATGGGAGTGCATCAACCCTAAATATCAGATGAAGAAGAAGAATTACAGAAACTCCGGTGTTGTCATTCTCAACCACTGTAAGGTAACGTAACGCAACGTTTCATATCCATCTACTTTAGGCAATCTACTGTATCTCTGTTTGTGTCTTAGTCTACAACAGAAGATGAACGTATTAATCTTTCCATCCATTTATTGTGTAGTTTAGATTATTGTTTAATCTGTAAAATGTCAGATAATAGAGGAGAGCATTTCCCAGAACTGAAGGTAATAGCTTTAGATTGCCTGAAGCCAGTTTGTTTTCCTAAAATCAACTACACCACACACTGACCACAACTACATCCAACTTCTTTAGCTTTTCCTACTTTGGAAGGAGTTTTGTATGAATGTATGGCATATGTATGTACATGTATGTGTGTGTAAATTAATGTGGTGATACATATAAGGGCATGAATATATGTATACAAATGTGACCATGTCTTAATTTTATTAGACTGTCTTCCTCCCAGTGTAAAGCTAGCACAGCTTCAAATACAGTCTTTATGCTGTTTTTCTTTCTGTGCAAGTCTATTTTTTTATTTATTTATATATTTATCTATTCGTTCATTCATTTTGGTGCGTTTGATACTTTCCTGCCATGAATGGATGGGCTTTATGCTGCTAGGCAGTGCAGTGCAATTGTGGTGCTCAGTATGACCCACAATTGCATTTGCACTAAAACCTGCTCAGACCACCTTTTATTGCAAACACAGGTGTGTGGCAGTTCTCATAACAACAGTCTAGGCTGTTAAACACGAGTAAGGGCACTCAAATGTATCGGCAAAAAAAAAAAAACAAACCTTAAATTCACAGCTGATCAGTCAGAATTCATTGTGAATTAGTTCTTGTGAAATTATCTGAAATATAAAAGGTGTGTGAAAGTTTAGAAAGATTATTTTCAAATAAGAGATACAAACTAGTCCACGGTATGTGTCTATAGATATGAATATGATCAAACAGGGTTGACAAATATCATGACACACCATTTGTCCTTAAAGGGTGCTGCAATCAGAGTTAGGTTTCCACTGTGCTTTTAAAGGCTTTGTGTTTGCATCCTATTTCAGGAAAATTGAGTCTAATGTGTGTAAGTAAGAAACAAGCATGTGCAGGTTGAAACAAATTCCCCCATGGGTCAGTAAAAACTGTGTATATATATATATATATATATCAATCTTTTCATATCCGTGACATGGTTCAAATTTCAGTATTTCTCCTGACAGATCATCAGAATGTATTCCTTCCTGGAGTACATCATGGGAGGCTGTCAAATTCAGTTCACAGTAAGTGCTTTCAGATATAATCTCCTGAACATTTAAAGCAGCATGTTGCTGTTTGTCCTTGTGCACTCATGCTATGTGAGTCATATATGTATGTGGGTGTGTTTCTGTCCCAGGTGGCAATAGACTTCACAGCGTCTAACGGGGATCCGAGAAACAGCTGCTCTCTCCACTACATCCACCCCTACCAGCCCAATGAGTACCTGAAAGCGCTTGTGGCTGTAGGGGAGATCTGCCAAGACTATGACAGGTAGATACTGCTTCATCAATCATCGGCTGATGCTGACACCCATTCACACATCCAAACACAAGGACCAAAACCTCTTCAAGAAAGGATTTCAATGTGCTTATTTGTAAAATGTTTCATAAATCTTAGAGCTTTTGTCCTTCATTTGTCTCTCCCTCTTCTCTCTTTTCAATGAATCATGTGTCTCATTGTTTCTCCAGTGATAAAATGTTCCCAGCGTTTGGTTTTGGAGCATTGATACCACCTGACTTCAAGGTAAGACAGTTGGCATGGATGGATGGATGTCTTTGCAGTGGCAGAGGAAGCTCTGGTGGGTTTAGTTTAAATAGCTTGCTTTTGATCATCATGAAAGGAGAATGCATCTATCAACCTGTAAATTGGACTGAACATGTTGTGCTGAGTGTTTGGTTTGCCATGGCAGTAAACGTCCCCGTGTTCTCTGCTCCGCATGAAGGTTTCTCATGATTTTGCTGTGAACTTTGATGAGGACAATCCTGAATGTGCCGGTGAGTTCCGACACAGACACAGAAGCACACTCCACTTATGTAGGCTTTTTAACTCAGAGAAAACTTTCACATATACATTCATATGTAACAGGACCAAAATAGTCTTACAGTATCACTTGTGCACGCTTCTCATCTCTCCCTCGCTGTCAGGCTCATATTTCTCGCTCTATATCTGTCCCCATCCTCTGTTTCTTCCTCTCTCTCTGTCACACACACACAAAACACACAGGTATACACACACGCACACATATGCAGCTGGGAGATTTGTCACTATGCTGTAGGAAGTACTTCAGGCTCTAAAATACAGAGGAAAAACAACACTAATCTGTACGTGTGAAATGGGCTTCTGCGCTTCTCTCCCCACATAGCTGCATTCCCGTTGTGAAGGTGTATGGGTGTCATGTTGTGTTTGTGTGGACAATAAGGCAATGCTTTCAGAAAAATGCCCAGTCACCTTGGAGTACAATTACTTGCACAAAATTGGATGATTTTTAGAGTTCCTTTTGCAAGTACAAGAACTTTGATTTGGCAAGGTCGGTGCGGTGCATTATACAGACAGGGAGACAGGATGATAGATAGCAGCAAAATAACCTGTATGTGTGTTTTGCAGGGATCCAAGGTGTGGTGGAGGCCTATCAGAATTGCCTCCCTAAGATTCAGCTGTACGGACCCACCAACATTGCACCAATTATCCAGAAAGTGGCCTCGTCTGCCTCCGAGGAAATGCACACCAAAGAGGCCATGGTGAGAGATGAGAAAGCCTGGATCATTTTGTTCCTGTTGTTGTGACTGTTAGTGTTTGCACTGGCATGCAGGGAGACAACGGAAGGACAAATAGAAATAAACAGACAGAAAAAAAGAAATCAGAGAAGGAAAAAGGTGGAACAAAGAAGAGCAGAAATAGACGAAATGAAAAGAGGAGAGATTGATATTAAATCGCTTCCAGTCATACCTTTTAAAGGACAAATCCTTCTCTGCCTTAATGCCTCCCACTTCCCACCAGCTCTCTAGTGGATTAGAATGAATTTTATTCAAATTAGCGCCCAACTAGAAGCCACAGTTAAAACATAAAATTCATCAAACATCTTCTCCTCTCTCCCACATACTGCCCCCTTTTCACCCACTAATTTCTCCCCTCCCACCTCTAACCCTTCAGGAGTATTTCATCCTGCTGATCCTGACAGACGGCGTCATCACCGATATGGCGGACACACGGGAGGCCATTGTGCATGCCTCCCACCTGCCCATGTCCGTCATCATTGTTGGTGTGGGCAACGCAGACTTCACAGACATGCAGATATTGGACGGGGACGACGGGATCCTGCGTTCACCCAAGGGCGAGCCTGTTCTCCGTGACATTGTCCAGTTCGTCCCCTTCAAGGACTTCAAACATGTGGGTGGCAGTGGGGGAAATGGGTGGATGGTGGGGGGTAAAGTCTTAAATTTCTGAAAAAAATATTGAGTTTATAGACGCATCACTGTCAGAAAATGAAACCAATTCCCCAGGGAAATTTGGAAGCATCAAAACATAAACATTGTATAAGGATACAGTGAGTTTTATGACATATGTTGCACTAGATGCTGTTTTTCAGCTGTCTTTGTACAATGTGTGGCCACTTCCTCATAGCCAGAATACCAGACTGTTTACAACTTTATGGCTTCCTCAAAACTGAATAACAACATTAAAGCGCATAAGAAATGTTGGGAATATCTATGGAGGCACATCTAGGACATTTCACATCAGGGACACAACGTTTAAAAAAAGCTAAGCATTGCTTTAAATGTTTCAGTAGTGGTGTCTGTACAATACCTCAGGTTCTGTGCTGGTACTGTATCGAACATTGCTATTTCCTTTGTCTTTTTCTTAGTTTAAACCAGCAAAGTATTGACTGAGCAGTGCAGGGCCAATAGCGACCTATGAGCCAAATCCAGCAAAAATATTGGACCTCATAACAAAAGCTACAAATCTGCTGCATATGACAATACAAACACAAAGCTCATGGAAATCTCAATAAATATAATTCTGTAATAATAAGTATCTTTTTCTGCAGTAAATAATTCAGCATACTGCTGAAATGCAGGCTAATGAATTTACTAAATGAACAACCGAAATTAAAAAATATAATCCATTTCATCAAACTGTCTAATTTTTAAGAGACAATTCTCCTCTGACAAATTAAAGCAAAATTCGTTAGCAAAAAATTTGACTATTTTAATTGAATACACTCATGGGAATTATTAACATTAACTTTCAGAACAAATACTTTATATTGTGGCTTTGTCATTACTAAAAGGTTTGACATTCAAATACCCAGGCTAGTTTTCAATTCCAGTTATAAGTAACTGGACACAGATTTTTTTTTTTACAGTTCCACTTAGGACAGATAGGCAGTGACATTTTAAAAGTTCTATTTCAACAGAGTCTATGTGTGTGTTGGGTGGGTGGTAAGAAGTGCTGTATTCAGGGGGTAGCAAGTGTAAGCGTGTGGGCGTAATATGCTTGGTGTGCTTGTCAAAACACATCAGCTATCTACACATTGCTTGTGTGGCTCTGATGGCATTAATTGTGCTTGGCTTTGACAGGGTCTATTTGGCTGGGTCTGTTATGGTGAATTTGGTCTGTGACAGGTTGAAAAAATCAACCAATTACACCACAGCCAAACAACAAAGGGGGTGGAGGGGTGGCAAATGTAGTAGCTTTACATATAGTAAAGCTGCTAATACATACAAGAGAGACAGGGAAGAGAAGTTGGGAATCCTGTACGTGTGGAGGGATATATGAGAAAGCAAAGAAAGGTGGAGGGAGAGAGGCAGCCCTTTGTGCTGGTGGTGGTAGTGGTGTAGGAGGGGGGGTCAATAGGAGACCAGAGCTAAAAGCGCTAAAGACAAAAGGGAGTGAGGGAGTGTGTGACAGAGGTGGAGAGGTGATTTTCTGCTCTGTCGTTTCTTTTCAGGAGGGATTAGCAGGACGGAGCTGCTGTGTGACAGGCAGAGCGGGGTATAACAGGTAGATAGGAGTGGAAGAGAGAGAAGAGCAGGAGGAGGGTGGGGAGGCTGGACTTTGATGATGCATTGTCTTGGGGTATTATGTGAGGTGGAGTACAACTGACTCTCTGACTGTGAGGATTTGGAGGTGTGTGCAGTGTGGCTGTATGCATGTTTGTGCAGAGAAATGGCTGGCCTGTGTGTGTATTCATGTATACATTGCATAGGAGTTTTTGAAATTATTTTTTCAGCAGTGGGTGGGTGTTTTTGCTTTATATGAACATTTTATGTTTTTAAGTGTATATTTAAATGAATATTATCGAGAAAAAACCCAACAAATATCTCTTGAGCAAGCACTTGGCGGCAGTGGGGAGGTAAAACTAGTCTCCCAGTCTTGAACCAGCCAATAAATCCCAAAAACTGATCTGGGGAAGCAGAGTATGATAAAATAATAATTTAACCTCATAATATTTCTTTCACTTTAACTAGAATAAACTGCAAGGCTAGATTGGCCACAATTTTACAACATAATGCACCCTGGTGACAAATGAGTCCAATAAATAATATCAAGAAAAATGTTAACCATTGGGTTTTTTGACATTCAGTATGGAGATTTCCAACAGAAGCTGCAATCTTTTTGGATGCAGTACTTCCTGTTAGGAATACCCTTTCCATTAATATTTTGAAAGGACCTCTTGAACCTTAATGCTGATTTTTGTCAACCTACCAAAATTGCATTGTAATTTTTCAAATAAATAATTTTTCATTAATTTTCAAATAAAATCCATAGGCTAAATATGAGCAAACACAACTGGACTGCATTATATTTTAGGTGAACTCATACAACAATTGTACAAAGTAATGGATAAATAAACACCTACTTTTGCATTTTCTTCTAAATAGAGTGTGCTAGGATGTGATGCAGTTTTCTCTTATGCCATTTTGCTGGAAACATATCCACAAATCAAGCTGTGGTCCTACAGGACAAAAAGGTCTGAGGTTGTCAGATGAGCTTGTCTGCTCACATCAGTCCCGCTCATCCAGACCTTTGACAGCATTGATCTCAACAGTAGATTCTGGCATCCAAGAATCATGCATGGCTGGTGATATGAGTACATTTGTGACTTCTCTCCTCCTCTGTCTCTTTCTGTGTATGTATTTCCAGGCTTCTCCAGCTGCACTGGCAAAGAGTGTTTTGGCAGAAGTCCCAAACCAGGTGGTGGATTACTACAATGCTAAAGGCATCAAGCCCAAGTGTATGTCGGACTACGAGTCCACAAGAGCCTTCAGTCCCTGACAATAGACTATGTGTACACATACACTCAGATACACACATATATATCATATATATATGTATATAAATTGATGTACTGTATAATATATATACACATGCAAAAGCACAAGCATATACACACAACCATACAACATGCTACAGTAGTCTAGCTCAGAGAATTAGCTCGTTCAGGTGAAACAATTTGAACTACTCCATTGATGACTATTGCATGTTTGGCCGCAATGGCATCACCTGGGAAATTATTATTATCTGCTGTATATCTGAAAAATGTTTATAGAAATAAGAGCAGTCTTCTGAACCAGCATGCAGGATCAGACTATAGTTCACCCCAAAAATGACACTCCTACCTTATTTAGATAACTAGCAAGTAAGTAGACCAAAAGATTTGTGAGTACGAAAGCCAAAATATGTGGCGGCATAGACTGAAATGCTTAGAATTAGCATTGCAAATGTTATTTATGGGAATGGCAGCATCCTTCTTAGAGTACTGCATAAATGCATGCATAATTCAGCTCCTGCTAATATCCAATCTCCACTAGTCGCTTGCTAGTTATGAAATAAAGTATCTCTGTCATTTGAGTGACATTCAGGGTGGTTTGGGTGATTTTGGTTCTTTTCTACTGACCTGTTTGAGACTTTACTAAATGGAATGAACAACTGAATAATTGTAATAATTCCTTAATAACCTTCTTACATTGTAAAGAGTTTTGAGAGAATAGCAAAGTGTGTGGTAGACACTCATCTGTGAGCTGAAAACTGTTTTTTCTGTATTCTGCATGTTGATTATAATAAAGACACTTTGGTTTTCTCACTTGGGTTTGATCTCCAATCTGTGTGCATATGTGTGTGTGACAAGGAACAAAAACAACTTTGTGTGTATTTGCTCAGCCATGTCGCATAGAGGTATAGTCTAGAATAAAAAAGAAAGGGTGTGATTTGTTTTTCTCAGCATAGTGAGCGTCCCTCTGTCTGCATGCCACTGAATATACAGTTAGTTGTATATGCAGACCTGCACTGTGATTAGATATTACATATCACTCTGTCTCTCTCATGGACAGCCCTGTTGAATGAACAAGCATGCCATGATTCTTCAAACTGCCACACATTCCTCCTTTACGCATACATAATGCTGTCTGCCCAGAGACACCTTCATCCACAACATTTCCCTTTCACTCTCCCCCGGTCAGACATTAAAATGCAAGGATAATGGTTTCGCTAGCCTAGTTTATATACATTTCATTAGAGCAAACCAAAGTTGGGCTTTCCCAAGAGTACGCTCCATATGGCCCTCAGTCTCTGACGGTCCGATCAGTATTCAGCATGTCTTCTGATATCATGAGTTTCACTGAGAGGGGCTGAGAATCAGTTTTATGAAGACTGGGAGAAACCACCTAATATGAACAAAAATTTTATTTTTTTTCTCTTCTCTTTTTCCAAGTATCTAATATTCTCTAAAGCTACAATTAAATGTGATGAAGAAAAAGAAGCAAAAGAACAGAAGCAACAGCAGCAGCAATGACAATAATGATAAATTAAAACAGTTACATAGGATATACAGTAGTATATTGTTACAGTTCAGGAGATAGTCAGATAGAAGCAGAAAATTCACAGTGTTAAATGGACGCAGGGTGAAACTGTTTTGTCACTTGCCATAGTCAACATATTTAGAATTTAGTATTTATTTATACATTTATTATTTATTGTTACTTTGCTTTTTTTTACCAACCTTCAGCGACAGAAGGCTGTATGCAAATATGTAAACACTATATTAATTTTGATCGTGGATATTAAATGTAAAAGTTTAGTAAGTTAAGATGTTTGCTGAAAATTTTAACTGGAGGCTTAGCGGAACCTTTGGCATGAACCTCATTGCTGCGGAACTGTTTTGGTCGGCTACCGGAAGTAGCCTGGGTGACATTTAGAACAGGACGTAAACGAAGGCATGGGTGGTTGTATGTGGTGATGTGAGACCCAATGTCCTGCAAGTTTATTTGTAGTTTTTGTATTTTTATTAAGTGTACACTTTAAAGAGCATAATGGCGGCGTGGAGCTGCCGGTTTCTTTTTCAGCGGGGAACTCGACTCATTTCTATCCGAGCAGCAGCTGAAAGGTAGCTAATGCTATTTGGCTAATTATTGTAATATAGAATAAGTTAGCGTCTGCATGTATCTTAGCTGGGCCCTGTTTCTGTTGCTGAATAACATTAGCAGTGCAGTTTAACTCACTGCTCTCTTTGACTGTATATTTTTAACTGTGCTTTTTATTTGGTAATATATGAGAAAATACGAAGATGTGGTTTTCTCCTTAGAGCAAAGTTAAAGATGGCTCAATTGCGCATTAGTGAGGGTGTGAGTTATTAACTAACATACCTCACTATTTAATTGCCAGGATGTCGTGCGATTTTTCTATATTTGTGGAGCCTATTGTTTTAGGTTCACCTTTCCAGTGTTCTGCATTAAATATCTGATTATCGAAGTACAGCCACTCCGCAGTCCAAGTCAGCACAGTAACAGATGAGTAATGTGCTGATAGCCATTTGCAAGCAGACGTGGGCAGACTATGACAAAAGGCCGACAGTATTACCATTTATGCACTGAAAATGCCCAAACTGTCCCTCTGGATGTGTGGACATGCTTGTGACTCATCAGCAAGGACACTGCAGTTACTGAACTGACTCAGGAGGAAACTAATAAGCAATGATGTGTGCTCAACTTAGTAAACTAAAATCACAGAGTAGTATAAGGTCTGAAGCAGAGAGGCCAACTTCAGTGTAGGTTTTCTAGAAAACACCTAAATTACACCTGGAATGGTGATTCAGATAATTAAGCAGCTATTTTGATAATCATTTGTCAAGATAACAAATACCAAGTCAACCTATCAAACGTTTAAAAACAGCTCTTTATCTCTGTTTAGTGTTATTAAAACAAATTAAATGATGGTTTGAGTTTGGGGCAGTTTTTCAGAGAAAATAATAGTCATCACCTTGGACCCAGGGAAATTATGATGGGTGCGGTGCCTCAGACTATTTTTTGATATTTTATTGACTAAAAATTCATGAAGGAATTTAAACAACTGATGGCCTTCCTGGTAAATAACTGCATCTGATTCTCTTAATTCTTTGTCTTGCAGTCCTGCCCAGTTTGTGGCTTCCGTTAGGACAGTGAAGACCACTACATGGTTTGAGGAACACCTCACAGAGGACAACCAGGAATACATGAGGAAGAGCATGGCAGAGGAATACAGAAGACAGACAGCTGAAAAGCTCAACCCCCTCAAAGATGAGCCCTGGCAGCGACATGAATGGACAGAGGGTAGGGATCACACTCAGTAACAGCTATGAACATTATGAGTCCTCCTCCTTTTGGCTCGCAGTTTATCCAGCTTTACTTGTGATTCTCTTCCCAGGGAGTCGAAGAGTTGGGTTAGTTGCTGTGAAGCTGGGGATGGCTCCTATCTGGACGAAAACAGGAGAAAGACATGTAGTCACCATGTTACAGGTACACATACACACACACACACACCTGTTAGGTTTCTGCTGTGCTTTAGCTTTGCACTTTCTTCAGGAATAAAATGTGTTTATATTTCTTATCCATACTGAAATGGCCTGCAGGTCAGCAAAGCAATCAAATAAATTGGATTGTTCCGTGGAGTGTGTGGGAAGAAATATAGAACAGCTGTAAATCTTACCTGCAGGCTTTGATTAGATTGTGATCAGTGTGTAAATGACCATGTTTTAATCTCACCAACTAATCTGTCAAATTGAAAGCAACCTGTGGCCATGTGCATTCACTCTATTCTTTATTGATAATGACGTACTCTAGTGGGTAGCATAACAAACTTCTATTTCAATGTCAGCAATGCATCAATGCTAACAGTGAGACTTATTTTTTCATTTTGCTGTCTCCTCCACTTAACATTCAGATTCACGGCCACACAGAAACTTCGGTCCCCATCACTTTTTTGTATTGGTTACTTTTTTCTCTTCAGCTGATACAGGAACAGTCTGTTCCAGATGAAACAAACATTTTCTTTGTCAGGGTGGAAGTACTCCCACCAATTTGACATTTAGGTACATTTTACCTGAACTGAAAGTAAGGGGGCTTTTACACCTACCTGGTCCAAATCAAATCCGAATCAAACAGAACAATGGTTTAATAATAATAACTTTATTTGTATAGCACTTTACAGCTCATAAAAGGCACAAAGTGCTTCACATACATATCCCAAACCAATAACGCCTACACAAAATGTATATAAATCCTAAAAGCAAATAAAACAAACTATTCAAAACAGTAAACGACATGAAACAATTTAAGGACACTTTACTGAGCATACGCCTGTCGGAAGAATTAAGTTTTTAAAACAGACTTGAATGAGGCTGGATCAGCTTGCGATCGAAGCTCTGGGGCAAGGAGTTCCAGAGCTTAGGGCCGTAAACAGCAAAAGACCGATCGCCCCACATCTTATAGTGAGACCTTGGGACGACCAGAAGTAAATGTTCAGAGGAACGCAAATTTCTGGTTGGAGTATAAACAGTCACAAAGTCAGAAAGGTAAGGGGAGGGGGGGGAGACCATGAATAGATTTAAACACAAATAACAATACCTTGAAACCAACCCAGAATTTAACAGGTAACCAGTGCAAAGAAAACAAAATGGGAGTAATGTGAGCGAATCTAGGGGTGTTTGACAAAAGACGGGCTGCAGCATTTTGGACTAATTGGAGCTTCCGCAGAAGAGACTGAGAAATTCCAACATAGAGGGCATTACAATAGTCAAGATGCAAGGTAATGAAGGCATGGATGGCTTTTTCTAAATCGGCATACGATAAAAAAGGCTTCACCTTCATTAAGAG